GCTGTCAGTTGAAGTCTGCACCTTAAAAGCTGCTGAAGTTAGGAAACTGATCCATACAAATTGGTGGTAGTTCTGTTGAAATACTAAAGTGACGGATGGAGAAATGCAGTTTTTACACTCTAAGGGATGTTAGGACTGCAATTGCCCAAATTCAGATGCAGGATGGGAATCTTGAAATCAATTCCCATGCCTCTGGAATGTACCATCTGGAGACACTGCCAGTGGTTTGTTTTTTTCCCATTATGATACTGAAGATACCCTGGATTGCCAAAAATGGTACCTTCCTTTTAGTTCTACAGATGATGCTTTGGAATATCTGTCATCTGTCCGTCCGTCCGTCCGTCCGTCTATCTATCTATCTATCTATCTATCTATCTATCTATCTATCTATCTATCTATCTATCTATCTATCTATCTACCTACCTACCTACCTACCTACCTACCTACCTACCTATCTACCTACCTATCTTTGTGAATAGTGCAAAGCTAATGTAGCTGTGTGAATGTGAAGCTTCCTTTTCTCAATGCGTTAGCAGAAATGCCAATTGAATTCTATTTCCAGAAAATGCTTTTGGGGTTGAGTAAATTTAAAAAAAGAAAAAAGAAGAAGCTTTATTTTCTTCCATTCTTTTTTCAGCCTCCTTTCTTTCTCTTAAAATCCCCGGAAGAAAAATGCCTTTCACTTATATCTACAAATATCGGTTGCTACTGACAACCCAAAAAATACACTCTGCCGACTCCTACTGAAATTTATTATATCCTGTGTCCCCATCGCACGTGGGACAGTTTGTGTGGCTCTCTCCTCTCGGTGGTGACCCTAGAGGTATTAAAGAAAGGATGATAAAGAAATACAGCCCCCCCACACACACCACCCAGAGAGGGTTTCCCCCCCCCCCGAGCAAAGAGCTGCAAATAACATTTTGTGCTTTCAGTCTACCAACGAGGGTGCAAAATTGGAAGGACTTTTCTTCCGTTGGTTCTAGAAGTTCTAGAATTATCAACTTTGGGACCAACTTTGGATTCATTTACAGGTAGCCCTTGACTTACAACAGTTCGTTTAGTAACCATTCAAAGTTACAACGGCACTGAGAAAAATGAGTTAATGACCGTTTTTCAGTTACGACTTTTCCGGCATCCCCCTGGCCACGTGATACAAATTCAGACGCTTGGCGACTGGCTCATACTTATGACCGTTGCTGTGCCCCATGGGTCACGTGGTTCCCTTTTTTTTTTTGCGACCTTCTGACAAGCATGGAGAAGGCAGATTCACTTAACAGCTGAGTTACTGACTTATCAACTGCGGTGACTCCCTTACGAACCGAGGCAAGAAAAGTCATAAAATGGGGCAAAACTCAACAAATGTCTCACTTAACAACAGAAATCTTGAGCTGAATTGTCGTAAGTCGAGGACTACCTGTGTAAGGTTTTGTTTTAAGATGTTTTTCAGAGGTTTTTAATTGCCAGCTTTTTATTCCTCCTGAATATCAGCCTCCTGTTACCTCCCTCCATTGCTGGGCATGGGCTAAAACAATAAGCAGTGGTGCATTTAAATATTCCTTTCAAATTTTCTTTATCTTTGGGGGAAAAAATAACAACTCCGGAGTGCATGTTCGTGTGTTTATTGATTGTTTCTGTGTGTCCAAAAACCTATTCTGGCCCCTTTCGTTGCCATTCATTACACATTGCCCAAATAACTAATGACTCAATTAACTCCAGTTAGGCTTTGCTAATTGGGTCATGATCAGGTTTTCACAGCTGAAGTTGTGAAAACTTCATCATGCCCCAATTAGCGACACCTCTTCCATGTGCCCAAGCTAGGCTGGAAATCAATAGCTTAATTTCAATATTCTACCTTTGCTTGGAGAAAGAGAAAAGCAATATTTTTCCCCCAAAAATGTAATTTATACCAGCCTTACCAAGGGAAGCGATTTGCTACGTGGGCTTTGCTCATTCCTCCTTCTGCTGTTCACCGGAAGAGAAATTAAGGCAGCTAAATGGCATCGTGTACCAAGCAGAAGAGGGTTTTCTGACGATTTGTGGAGTGCCAAGATTAGCAACCGCAAATCCACAGAAAACAAACGGAACAAATTAAGGACAGAATCTCAAAACAACCCTCAGCATTTAATTATATAGTCCAGTAATATATATAGTCCTTGACTTACAACTGGTCACTTAGAGACTGTTCTGTGTTACAATGAATTTCCCAGAGAACCTCTTTTGGGGCGCTTGATAAATAAATGCTGTTTTTTGGCAAAACTGTGATAAATTGTCATAAATCATGGGCTGGTTGCTGAGCACCTGATATGCGGTCACATAGCCATGGGGGGGGGGCAGTCAGTAGAACTTCAGGTTGTTAAGTACCCCAAGGCAGGGGTCTACAACCCCCAGTCCATGGACCGGTACTAGTCTGTGGCATGCCAGCAACCGGTCCACACAAACAAGCAAAGCCCCATCCACGGGATGCAGGCAGCACACAAAACCACACACCCTCCCGTCCGTGGAAGAACCTTTCTCCACGGAACCGGTCCCTGGCGCCCAAAAGGTTGGGGACCTTTGCCCCAAGGGATGTCCCTTGTAACTTCAAACAGTCGCTAAGCGACTGTCATAAATCGAGGAGTACCGGTAATTATTGTGATTCAGATTGGGGACTTGTGACACCTGTATATCTGTGTTTCTGTGTTAGCTGGCATCCTGAAATCCCAATGGCTCTTATTTTGAATTTTCTCTTAACCGAATATCAACGGTGTTGGAGGAGGTGTGCGGCGTTCCGTTCATCCGCGGTGCCCCGTCTAACAAAGGCCAACCCGGCATTTTGGGAATCGTGTTAACCTGCAGAGTAGAGTTGCGCTTCTATTTTTGTGCAGTAGGGCACCGAGACCTTGCAAGGCACGGAAAGAGTCGCCACATTTTGATTCATCATCCAGTCTAGCCTGGCAAATGCTCTGCCATATGTGATACCAGGAGAGGCAACCGTAGCTGTTTGCAAACCCTCCGCTTTAAACACCAAGCATATTTGTCATCAAGATTGAAACTGCAACTGGAGAGAAGACGGTTGGTTGGGTGTCACATTAATAGGACAATGTAATGGAAGGTTCAATCGTTCCAGGCCAGGGGTAGGCAACCTTGGCTCTTTTATGACTCGTGGACTTCAACTCCCAGAATTCCTGAACCAGCATGGGTGAACTATGGCCCCCTTTATGGCTTGTGGACTTCAACTCCCAGAATCCTGAGCCAGCATGAGGGAACTATGGCCCCCTCATGACTCGTGGACTTCAACTCCCAGAATTCCTGAGCCAGCATGAGGGAACTATGGCCCCTTCATGACTCGTGGATTTCAACTCCCAGAATTCCTGAGCCAGCCTGGCTCAGCTTGGAAACTTCTCCCTTCCCCTCAGCATGGCTGGCTCAGGAATTCTGGGAGTTGAAGTCCACGAGTCATAAAAGAGCCAAGGTTGCCTACCCCTGTTCCAGGCCAAAAGAATCTTAAAAGGTTAAATCCTGGCAACTGGACCAACGTTTATTAAAACTTGAGACGTTTCGCTACTCATCCAGGCAACTTCTTCAGTCAGAATGAATATTTGGGTAGGCACAGAGGCAGAGAGTCATTGGAAAGGACCAACTCCTGCCGTACAGACTGCTCCTGTTTGTCTACCCCAGGGATAGGCAACCTTGGCTCTTTTATGACTCATGGACTTCAACTCCCAGAATTCCTGAGCCAGCTATGCTGGCTCAGGAATTCTGGGAGTTGAAGTCCATGAGTCATAAAAGAGCCGAGGTTGCCTACCCCTGGTCTACCCCAATTTTCATTTTGACTGAAGAAGTTACTTGGATGAGCAACGAAACGTCTCAGTTTTAATAAAGGTTGGTCCAGTTGCCTTGATTTACCCTTTGTAAGAGGATGACCACATAGTACAGTTTTCTGTCAGATGCAGTTGATTTCTAAGACCCGCACTTGGGCTCTAATTTCATACAAATCAAACGCTTCCTTTCTGGAAGGGTGCCCGTAGTGTTAATGACAAATGATAGAAGCCAAGTAATTCTCCATGCCAGCTTATTTCCTTTTCAGCAGGGTGGCTGTTTGGGCAGGCTCTTTGCTTCCTATGATTTGATTTGACTGCCCTAGTGTGATTGTTTTGGGTAGGTAGGAAGGAATAGCTTGGTTTGATTGGCTATTATAAAGTTTGGTTAGTTATAAATTTGCTTATAGAGCTAGTCATTGACTGAGCAGTTGTAAAGTCGTGGTCATTAAGCATGCCACCATGTAACCGTTCTGATTTTATGATCTTTTTTGCGGTGATTGTTGAGCGAACCTGTTTACTTCGATGCATGTTCTTATCCTGCCCTCTGGTGCTTTGGAAAATAAGTTGACCCCCTTCTCTTCTTTGTGGCAGCCCCTCAAATACTGGAAGACTGCTATCATGTCCCCCCTGGTCCTCCTTTTCTCAAGATTAGCCAAACCCAAAACTATTTGGCTGAGTGGGGAATTCTGAGAGTTGGAAGTCCTCGAGTTACCAAGGTTGAGAAACATTGCTCCAGAGCATTAAAAAAAAAAGACAAATGAGATTAAGTTTCTAGATCAGTTTTAGCCCAAAGCATGTATTTTTCATAGCCAGAGAATGTTTCATTACAGGGAAGTGGTTAAAATTTATACCATAATTTCTACGAAAGTTTTTTTTCAAAACACGTATGATATTTTCTATTCTAATAGCATTTCCCATTCTGTTTCTAGGTATAAGCCGAATGTTGTGTAATATTGGAAAGCTAGTCACCTAGTAAATTAAGAGCAGCTTAGTACTTTACCCAAGCAAAATGGACCTTAAAAATATTCCCCTGTAATTCATAGATCAGGGGTGGGCAACTATGGCAACTTTATGACCTGTGGACTTCAACTCCCAGAATTCCTGGCATGGCTGGCTCAGGAATTCTGAGAGTTGAAGTCCACAGGTCATAAAGTTGCCATATTAGTTGCCCACCCCTGTCATAGATAGTAGAGGTATCCGATGACTATCCCAAAGGTGCTTTTCCAAGAGGCAACTGGACTTTCTTGTTCTTCAGAGCTGAAGAAGCTTCTTGGATGAGAAGCAAAATGTCTTCAAAGAAAAACAAGAAGGTCCAGTTGCCTCTTGAAAAAGCACCTTTGGGACAACCATGACCTGGATGACTGAGAACCTCCGTAGACATTGTCCTATGACTAATGGAAACTTTCTGTGGCATGAGATCAGATGCCCAAAGCAGAGGTAATACAGCTTATACATTTCCTAGAGATAATTGCAGCTCAAGGTAACATACTTGTCATATTGTTTTTTCGTGCCCCCAAAATGCAATACCTTTTTTCAATAACCCCCTGGCAGAAATGCAGGACCATGTGTTTATATTAAGGTTTCAAATAACCCCGAGTTACACAATCACATTAGCCAGAAATCCTATTGTGCTGGGATGCTTTGAATATAACAGAAGCATCTCGCAAACAGCCCCTGATGATACACGAGTATTTCACATAACAAAAGTCGCATTCAAAAGGAATTTCTTGTTCTGGGACAAAAGCTGGTTGTAGTGAAGTTCATTATTTATAGGATTTCTCCCCCCCCCCACACACTTTGGCAGGATGTTCACGTTTGCATATAATGTATAAAAAAATAACAAAGGAAAGCACGCTAACTTGAGTGTGTAATAAATGCAATCATAACCTAAAAGCAAAGAAAATAGAAGGCTAAACACATCAAATCAGACCAAAGGAAAACTACCTGAGTGTAAAAAAGAAAAACTCAGTAGGAAAGGGACAAAGAAATCCTGTTGAAGCAAGCAAGAGTATAAGCTCTCCTATTGCTCTCAGTGGGCAACTGAACATATGGCATACACACAAACAACAGGTGATCACAAAGAACAAGGAGGAGAAGGAAATTGCCTTCCTATACATGTTGATGGTTTGCAATTTCTACCACTCTAAGGGACATGCTCAGTGCCAAATAATGTTGGTAATCGTAGCTCAGTGACATTTTGGAAAGTCAAGTTTCCCCCCATTAAATTTGCAAATCCTATTCGGTGGCCCTCCCACTTAAAAGTACATTACAACACCGTTTAACAACTACACAACATTCCTGAGAGCCTCTAAAAATTACAGTTTTCCAGCTGAGATCAGCGGAACGCAAAGTAGACTTTTTATTTGTCTTGTAATTATTCTATTTCTTTCTTGTGGCGAAGGAGGAGATGATAGGGAACTTTTTGAATAAGGTGTCTTAAGAAAGTTTCTCCTAAGTTTTTTCTGCCCTCTTTGAAGTAGGGCTAGGCCAGGGGTAGGCAACCTTGGCTCTTTTATGACTCGTGGACTTCAACTCCCAGAATTCCTGAGCCAGCTATGCTGGCTCAGGAATTCTGGGAGTTGAAGTCCACGAGTCATAAAAGAGCCAAGGTTGCCTACCCCTGGCGCTAGACTCTATGAACTGAATCAGTTTTTTTTTTCCTCCGCTGATTAAATTAAAACAGGAGCTTTTGGACGCACCACAAACAATTCCAAAACATTATTTCGTGGATGTTAACAAAGATCCAGAGTAACAAATCTACTGTCTGCTCCTAACATACAGAGAACTTTACTTAGCAACAGAAAACTCTACCATCCACATTCCTGTTGCATTCACTTACTGGCAGGTGACCCAGGTGTATTTTGAAATTGCACTTATGAACTGGGCAATCGCAATATGGGCTATTATAATGTTCCAAAGTTCTTTACAAAAAAAAAAAAAAACCAACTTGATAATGTTTACATTTTGGCTGGACTGTGCACAATTACCACCCAGGATTGCATCACCGAACAAATAAAACTCCCCTGGATGATTACAGCCGCCCACCCCGGGTACGTCTGCAGGGAAAGCCTTGCGTTCAATGCAAATCAAAACCACAGGATTTCCCGGGATATTCCCTGGGCAAAGTTTGGCCGCAAGATTTACAAGACACACAAAGAAAAAGCTTCTAAAAGGCCTCTTCCCTCCTGTTGTAACTCTCCACCTTTTTCCCAAGGAAGGATAAAGTATCACACCAAGCGCGCGACTTCACTCCACTGAAATCTGCACGGAATTATCCACCGCAATAAAGTTTGTAATAACTCAGAGGTTGCTTGTACTCGCCCTTAAGAAGTTTGTCAAGCCGCTTCTTGGGTCCTTTCCAAAGCCGAGAGGACGAAGTCAGAAATTCTTGTCGGTCTGAAGTTCTGACCGGGGCAGTTGCTGGTCAAAAGATTTCACGGGGCACGGCTTCTCTTTTTAGGCCGTCTCTCGTGGTGGCTTCTCTTTTAGGGCCCTCCCCTTCCCCCTGGCAGGCAGGCAGGCAGGGAGGGGTGTTTCCCAGCATTGCCTGTGCAATCCTCTTTTGGAGCACAAACAAAAGATTAGGAGAGCAGAATCAAACCCACCGGCTTCGATCGGATAGCCCGATCTCCATCAGCTTCCATCCTGAAGGTCCTTCCCTTCTCCCCATACAGGTGGTCCCCGACTTACGGCCGCAAATTGAGCCCAGGATTTCTGTCGTCAAGCGAGACCTTTGTTAAGTGAGCTTGGCCCCGTTTTACGACTTTCCCTTGCCACAGTTGTTAATAGGAATCGCTGCAGCAGATAAGTTGGTAACCCGGTTGTTAAGTGAGTCTGGCTTTCCCCATTGCTGAGCAGAAGGTCGCAAAAGGACACAGCCACGGTCATAAGGATGAAGCCGTTGCCGAGCACCTGAATTTTGATCACCGGAGCACGGGGAGGCTGCGAAGGCCGTACGTGTGAAAAATGGTCCTAAGTTGTAACTTTAAAACAGCCACTAAATGAACTGCCTGCATCTTAAAACCTTAGAAACCTTAAAACCCCTGGATCAATCTGTCGATAGCAGCCATAGCATATGTTCCATCCTCAGCAATGTTCTTTTTTAAAAAAAAAAACAATGAATCTTTACTCCCTTGTCATTCCTTCCGGTTCTTCCCCCCCCCCCCCTAATTTTCTGGGTTTTTTTTCATTTGCCCTTTCATCTAAGGGCATTTGAGGCTCTTCCTTCTATCGCTGAGTGTGTGTGATTTGTTAAAGGAACCTTTCATATTGATCCACACTCCTGTCTGGCGGGCGATGGGTCTCTTTAAAATGACAGGGCAGGACATTTACATGTCAGAGCAGCTGCAGGGCATAAGAATAGATTTGGCATTAGTCCTTTGTTTGGTTTGAGCTCTACAACCCAACCTCTTGTCTTCATCTCAACCTATTTACCGAGTGAAGAACTTTCTGGGTCTGTCTGGATATTGATTTATGGGACTAATTTTTGGCATTAGCACAGGTGCTACTGAACTTACGATCACAGCTGAGCCCAAAATTGAGAAATTTTGTGAAGGGAGTTAGGCCCCGTTTTACGACTTTTCTTGCCACCTTTGTTAAGGGAGTCACTGCAGTTAATAAGTTCATGACACGGTTGTTAAATGAATCTAGTTTCCCCATTGGCTTCGCTTGTCAGAAGGCCGCCGAAGGGGATCCCACCACCCCGGGACACTGCAGCCGTCATAAATGTGAGCCAGTTGTCAAGCATCCAAGTTTAAATCATATGACCGTGGGGAGGCTGCAACAGTCATAAGTGTGAGAAATAATGGAAAGTCACTTTGTCCGCTGCATTGTAGCTTTGAACGGTCACTAAACGAATTGTTGTAAGTCGAGCACTCTCTGTGTAAGAGTCTTCACACATCGGCGTCACGTACTTGAGCCTCACTCCTGGACAGATTGTTGTTCGATGTATTGAAGCACGTGTTCTGCTTGAATTATTCCAATATTCTGCTTGATGGCGTAACAAAATAGGACGGTCCTTGGATTTGGAAAGCAACCTGAGAAACTTAGTAAGCAGTGATTTTTGGCGAGGCTTCTGAAGCTCTTGTCTTTCTTCTGCCTGGAACGATCCTTCGGGAGAAAAAGGATAAATGATGAGCTTACAGAGGACCTTCAGCGTCCCACAGTATTCTGCACAGGAAGAAAGATTAATTCAGCCTTTGCTGATGTAGGCAGATTAGAAGTAAATGCCAGGTCACTGCTTCTCTGCAGCTTCCTTATCAACACATGAGCCTATTCATCCTAAATGTCAGCACCCAGACACCGAAAGAAAGAATGGCTTAAAATTTCATTCTGCACACAAATTGAGTCTTGCCTGGACTTGGTAAGCCAACGGCTGGGGTTTCACCTTATTTTAAAATCTATCTAACCTGCTTATGTGTTGAAAGCTTCCTAAGGGTTGTTAGCAGCTTTAATGCTCGTGTTTGCTTTTATGCCTTAGGTGTATAAAGACGTTTTGCCACTAAGTCACACGTTTTAATTTTGTGTTGTTGTTGTTTTTTTCTTTTAAAGAATTTTCTCCTTCTGATGCAACCTATTCATGACTGAGGAGCTGGAAACAGCTAGACAAGTGCTGCCTTCGTTTCATCGTTCAACATGACCAATCCCCAGTGGGTACAAAGGTTTGAATAAGAATGTCTTGATTTGCTTTTTCTAGACGGTGTTCTGTTTGATGCGAAAAGGCACTCAGCGATGAATTAAGTCTCTCTTGGCCAGGAAAGTTGGACATTTGCAGTAGTAGAAAAATTTCAGTTGTGTGGATGACCTGTAAAATCTCCCCATTTCTTTCCAACTTTTAATTTCACGTGGAGCTTTCTTTTTTTTTAAAAAAAAGAAAAACCTCTTTCTATCAACATGTCTTCCTCGGTGTAATGGGCTTCGTTTAGTTTTAAGTTCCATTCTATACATATATCATTTCAACACATCCAGACATCTTTATCCGTCCCAGGTAATTTAAATAACCCCATGCCCTTCAGATGTTTGAACTACAATCCATATAGCAATAGCCCCTAGACTTCTATATCGCTTCATAGTGCTTTACAGCCCTCTCTAAGCAGTTTACAGAGTTAGCATATTGCCCCTCAACAGTCTGGGTCCTCATTTTACCGACCTTGGAAGGACGGAGGGCTGAGTCAACCTTGAGCCTTAATCCCTAACGGTTGGTCATGATAACTGGGTTTGATGGTAATCAAAAATAGTTCGATGGTCTGACGTGTCTAGCTCTATTCTAATATATTCTTCTCAAGTATACCTGGTTGCTGCTACTTTTTTTCCTTTTGTTATCTAGAAACAAGAGGATAGAATATGGTTTGCTGTTCCCTTTTTCAATTCCTCATGTTTGTATGAAAAACAGATGTTTTGTTTGGGGCAAATATTCTTGCATAATTTGCCCCCTGGAATAGAGTGCCTTCTATAATTATCTGGCTGATTATCCAGGCCATTTAATTCACTAGAGGATTTAAAACACTTTTTTTTTCAGAGAGAAATCAGTGCATCCTAAAAAAGAAGTTGAACATGAAGCTTTTTTCCCCCCTGCTTACCTTACCTTGTTTGTTCCAGTCTCATGATGTTTATTAGCCCATTATCCTGTATTACTGAGAGCAAAGGGTGTCAGGTGGGAGATCTGATTTAGACCTTTTGACACTCTAAAAGGCAGCCATTGAAGTGAGATAATTAATCCTGTTTTCCTTCATCATTTCACCAAGATTTCACTGTGTGTTTGTCAGCCATTCAAAGGAAGCCAGAATAAGAAAAAGCACAGATCATATGAATGTCACGATTGTTGCGGGGTGTAATAATTAATAGAAGCCTAAAAGCCCGCCAGAGTTTCCTGTTGCGTCCTCTTATACCAGTGATGGCGAACCTTTTAGAGACTGAGTGCCCAAAAACTAGCCCCGCCCCCACTCCACCCCCTGCCCCGCCCCGCCTGTCCTCAGGGCCACTCACTGCCCCCAGGGCCCGCCGCAGATTGCCCAGGCAGCCCAGCAGCGCTATGGCGGACATGCCCTCTGCCCGCGCCCTGCAGCATCAAGTGTGCACGATGGGGTGTGAGGGCAGAATCTTGTCTACGCTGCCTGGCTGCCATGTCCTTGGCTGTGCTACTCCACGTGGGCCACGCTCAGGGGCGACTCTCCTTCAGGGGGGCTGCTGGAGAGGAAGGGGTCACGGGGGGAGGCGAGGCTGGGGCAACGGTACGTGTGCCCACAGAGAGGGCTCCGAGTGCCGCCTCTGGCACCCGTGCCATAGGTTCGCCACCACTGTCTTATACCATACAGAATCAAAGTGGAGTTATCTTGAGACTCTTCCTCACATGGTCTGCTTTCCTGGGTCTCTATAAGATATGCCAGGTTAGAAAACAGGCATGGTGAGGACAACTGGAACTTCACTTTATTGTTCTAGGATATAGTAACAGAATTTTGAAAGCTTGCCATAGTTTCTCTCTGCCCCCCCCCCCTTATACCAAACAGACTCAAGGTGGGGTTATTTTGAGTTACTTTGGGTTCCGTTCCCCCTGTAGACCTACTGTAATGGCTGCTTTGAAGCCATGGATTGGATCTCGGTGATCCACTCTGCATTCCTTTTCCAAACCACTTTTAGTCTGGCTTCTGTTAAAGAGATTGATAACTATGTCCTGCCATGAGTCAAACTGGAATCTCCTTTGTGTATTCTTAAGTAGAGGTTTATTGAATCTGGTGTACAATGAATCTTCCATTCCTTTGATCCAGAAAAGAATCTGTAGGAAAGTGTCCCGCATAAACATCATTCTGAGGTATCTAATGGCTTGAACTTTGACCCTGGTGAAATCATTTAACATTACAAATGGATTATTCAAACAGGACCCAAAACATAGCTTATTCCAGAAGTCTTCCAGGAACCATAACAATCTGGAATCAATCTTTTGGTACCCATATCTTTGAGATACAACTAGGGATATTGACACATTGATGTCCTCCGCATTCATTAATAGTATTTTTAAGTAAAAATTTCTCTCCCACACCTTAAATAAACGTTGCTATCCCATACAGGAAACTGATCTACCTATATTTAGTTAAGTTGGTAGCTTTGTTCGAATTCTTGACACACTTTTACCACTGGTGCATCTTTATGTTTTATGAAAGTGTAAGGATGTGGGAATGACCTTGGCAGATGGAGGAGGGCAGAGATGCTTCCTGGGAATGATCAAATAAGAGAGGACATAGCCTGCAACTGCATAACGGGCAAAGGAAAACACTCAGAAGGGTGTTTTTTACGCTTGTCAGGCTGTAAAAGAGACCGCGGGAGATTTATACCCTCAGTCTTGCAAGTTTCTGTTAAAGTAGCCTTAGAGCAGTATTTCTCAACCTTGACAATTTTAAGGCACGTGGACTTCAACTCCCAGAATTCCACAGCCAGCAATGCTGGCTGTGGAATTCTGGGAGTTGAAGTCCACGTGCCTTAAAATTGTCAAGGTTGAGAAACACTGCCTTAAAGCAGTGATGGCGAACCTTTTAGAGACCGAGTGCCCAAACTGCAACCCAAAACCCACTTATGTATCGTCGGGTGCCAGGTGGGTGTGGCCAATTGGGTGGGCATGGCCTGTTGGGGTGGGCGTGGCTGCCGTGGTAACGGCAGACTGGGTGGGACTAAAAAGTTCAATCAATCAATTCCAACTTTGCGAGATCTTTTTTTTCCCCGCGAGAAGTTGAAATTGATTGATTGAACCTTTTTATTTTTTTTGCACACGGTGGCGGAGGCCTAAAGCGAAAAGGTTTTATAAAACCCAGCTGAAGGCCTAGGACTGGGGCGACGGCGCACGTGCCCACAGAAGAGGGCTCTGCGTGCCACCTGTGGCACACGTGCCATAGGTTCGCCACCACGGCCTTAGAGTAAAGTAGAATTTGCTCACAGTTGGGGGTGGGGGACTGGTTCTTATTTTTGTGGGTTTTTTTTTTCCATTGATGACTTCGTTAGGCCTCCTATAGAAGGTGGAGTTTCAGAGGTCGAAATAATTTCGCAGCAAATAGAAGACGAGACCAGAAGCGTCGCCCCGGTACAGCTGGTCAATTTCGCCTATCGAGATTTACCCCTCGCTGCGCTGGATCTGTCCGTTGCAGGCTCCCAGCTCTTCTCCAATTTGGATGAGGAGTACCAGAGAGAAGGGTAAGCATCCATCGACTTACTTTTAACTCCCCAAACTTTTTCTTAAAAAAAAAAAAAACTTCAGTAATTTAATTTACAGAAAAGGAACTCTCTCTGTCTCTCTCTTTTTTTTTCTTTTTTTTTTCTTTTGCTGTTATTAAATCATGGTCCTAATCTCTGGATCCATCCTCAGGCAACCTCGATTTTGCATTGTTGCTTTTAGCCAATCGTGTTGTTTGTTTAGAGCCCTTAAAATCACGATACGGATCCCTTGATAAGGGAAAGGGGTTTGGTTCTTGTTGCTTTTGTTGAACATAAGACGTTAGCTTCCCGACTTTGACAGTTTCGTAATAAGTTCCCATGTCTTAATTAGAAACAGGAGGTTCCGAACAGCTTTGCTGTTTTCTTTTATATATCTTATTATGTGTAATGGGAAATAATGGTCATAAAATGCTTTTAGGCTGTGTAACTTTTGGGTTCATGAAATGCTTTTAGGCTGGAAACGTTAGCTAGGCAAACACAGCAGAGCCCATTCTTCTCAAAAGGGCCTTAGAAGAAATAAGATTCAGGCTGATCTGGACACAATGCAGAATTGGAGGCAAAAATGAATTTTTAGCAAAGTTCTCCAGGCAGTACGAATAGCAGCTTCCCTGTTTTTGGCTTAAAGAGCTTTAGCTTATGAATGTAGTTCAGTGATAAAAATACATACATTGATAAAAAAAAAAATTAGAGTGCTTTTCAAAAAAGTGAAAAAAAAATATTCAGCCATGAATTCTGGGAGTTGAAGTCCACAGGTCTTAAAAGTTGCCAAGGTTGGACACCTCTGCTCTATAGTAGATTTGAAGTAGTAATTAACTTTTAACAGATACAAAATGATGGCCTCATCTTAAAATTTTTGGATTCTTTTACGTGTCCCATCTTCCAGACCTTGTCTGTCTGTCTGTCTGTCTGTCTGTCTGTCTGTCTGTCTGTCTGTCTCTCTCTCTCTCTCTCTCTCTCTCTCTCTCTCTCTATATATATATATATATATATATATATATATATATATATATATATATATATATTTAGTTTTAATAACATTAAAACTAAAACAGTGACTCCTGAGTGTAATCATCTTCCAAAAACCAAACTGTGAACACCAGGAGTATATCAAACTATAAAAAGTTTAATAACACAAAACATAAAACAAAACTACACCAAGCTTTCGTCGGACTCCTTCTGACATCGTCAGGGTTACGTGCCAGTCCATGGGAGAGTCCCTTTTATAAGCCACCCATCTATCTATCTATATCTATATACTATCTATCTACACACACACACACACACACACACACACAGTTTGTTTGTTTGTTTGTTTGTTTGTTTGTTTGTTTTGGGACCTAAGGGTTGATACTTCCCTTTGTTAAATTGGATGCTGTTGCAGACTGTATTCTGCAGTCAGTGCTGAGCAAAACTCCCACGTCCTTTCACGTGGCACGGAGCTACCTTTCATGGCATAACGTCCCTTCCCCCTTCTCCAACTCAAGAAAGCGGAAACTGTGACATCTGTTAGCAGCTTGAGTTGAAGTGTTTGTAGTGGCTCATTACCAGAGTATTATGGTAATCTTTTCCTTCTCTCCTTCGTTGTTGAGCATTCGCTTAAACAGCGGTATATTACAAAAAATTGTCAGTTGGTAATATAATGGGCTTTGTACACTGGGAAAGGCTGTTGTGAGATGCACATTTCTCCTTTGTTTCGTAAATTGGCATTGCTGATCTTTCCCTGTCAGCATATTTTTAAAACCTCCCAATTTAAGAAGAAACGTATAAATAGATTTACACCAGGAATCTCGCATATTAGCCTTTTTTTTTAAACAAAAGCCCCAAATTTTATTTACTTCCATAAATGCTCCTTTGCTGATGAAAGTGCCTTGATTTTTTTTCCCTTCAAAGAAATTCAGTTCGTTTAGAAATTTGCTTTATCAAATTGCTGTGTGTTTTATCTAAGGATCCTACTTAAAACTGGAAAGAAATTTATCTGTTTTTGCAACTTACATCTAGTCAGTTCTAGGAACTGTTTGGCAGGTAAAATTGAGGCATCTTCTACCATTTGTCTAGCAACTGGAAATACATTTGAAGGAGACCAACGTTCTTTGATTATGATCCTTTTAGGTGTCTATTGTTATAGTAATACACTGCTTTTAAATGATAGTATAATTTACGAAATGTATACTTATAACTTACATCCCTAAAGAATGATAAACATACATGTTTTTGTAAAAAAATGGGATTTTCTAACTGATCCTGATCTTTAATTATATTCTTTTGTTGGTAGTAATTTCAGTAATTCCAATTTCTCTCACTTGTTTTATTTTTCCTTTTAACAAGGTGAGTCCCAGTTAAAATTACAGCCTTATATCCCACAGTCGCTCTAAATCAGGGGTTCTCAACCTTGGCAACTTTTAAGACTTGTGGACTTCAACTCCCAGAATTCCTCAGCCAGCAAAGCTGGCTGAGGAATTCTGGGAGTTGAAGTCCACAAGTCTTAAAAGTTGCCACGGTTGGAGACTCCTGCTCTAAATATAGGCATCTCTGCCACCTACTGTCCATTCTGGGAATTTTTAAAAGTCACAGAAATAGACTAAATATTTAAGAATGACAAATGAAGGAATCAAATAGGAACCTAGATTCTAGAATCTAGAAATATTGTTGGAAGAAGGATGCATCTGATTATTTTTTAAATGTAAGTAGATCATCTGGTAGTGACGATTTTAGAAAATACCTCAAACAGCATCACTGTAACTCCTGCGTATCTGTAATTAGTCCCCAGTTTTTGACAGACGCCAGTTGAAGTCCTGAGAGAAGGACTTACAAAGTTGATTAGTAAAATTGGATCTGAGTTTGGGGCGCTCCGTTCTGTTGCATTATGTAAAGACTTAATAATATTTGCTCTAGAACAGGGGTCTTCACACTTGGCCCTTTTATGACTTGTGGACTTCAACTCCCAGAATTCCTCAGCCAGCGTGCCTGGCTGAGGAATTCTGGGAGTTGAAGTCCACAAGTCATAAAAGGGCCAAGTTTGAAGACCCCTGCTCTAGAACTTTAAACCCTATAGTGAAAGCACACATTCTATTTGCATTGGCAGAAGTTTCAAAGAAGAGTAAACGCTTTGCATACCAGAACGATTCCTGTTCAATCAGTCCTTGGCGTCTGAAATTAAAATTCTCAGCCGGTGTTGCAGTAAGCTGATCTTCACTGCTGGATAAAATAATGTAGTGCTTTGATTGGGTGTAAGGCAGCACGTGTGGTCCTAACTTGCTTTACTAATACAAAATATCAAAATGTAGGAATAGTGGCAACAGCCAAAACAGAAAACTACAAGAAGCAATAACGTTTATTTTCATTCCTCGTTCGTTTCGAAGTTGAAGTTGTACGAAGAATTCGGTAGGCTTCGTACCCGGGCAGTCCTTGATCCTCTGGAAAATTAAAATGGGAAATTCCGGTTCTGCAGGACACGCACACACCGCGTGGAATAAAACAATCGTATGGCAAATCATCAAAGACGGTTACTTAATCTAGATGTAGAAATGTGGTTTTTTTTGAACATATCTAAAAGAGTCCTAGATTATGATTCTCATGGCCACCAACTTTAATGGACAATTCGATAAGGTCATGCAGGAAAATAAACCTGTTAAGACAGTGGTTCTCAACCTGTGGGTCGGGACCCCATTTGGGGTCGATCAACCATTTCATGGGGGTCGCCAAGCAAGGCTGTCTGCCATTTTTTTTGTCCGCCATTTTTTTTTCCCTTTTCCGGCGGGTGCCTTACCTCCCTTGGGCTGGGCCAGCTGGTGGTTGGCCTGCTCCGTCTCTGCCGCTTGCCAGCTACGCCTCGGCCGGCGCAGGGGGCGGAACCACGCATGTGCGGCGCTCCCGGGCAGGGAAAGTCCTCGACTTACGACCGGTTTAGTCCTCGACTTATGACCGGTTTAGTCCTGGACTTACGACCGGTTGGGGTCGCGGCATTAAAAAGGTTGAGAACCACTGTGTTAAGAGATTCCAGTTGGGATCGTTATTATTTAGTCATTCCAACTTTGGAAACCATACATCTTTAAACCACCTAGGAGTCACCTCTTAGTGAAATGGACGGCATATAAATTTAATAAATAATAAATAAGAACCCACTGATGGTGACGGTCAATAGGTGTGGGTTCTTGAGCTGCTTTCTTGCTTTTGACCCTCTAACTGGCAAATGCATGGCCTGAATAGAAGACTGGCTGAGCCTTTGGTCTAATCCTGCATTGCTCCACTTTGCTGTTTGCACATTTTGTACAAAAGGAACAATTGGGGTTGAATCTGGATTCCCTCTGTGCCTGCTTATTGGACTGAGAACTTTGCAAACTGGACTTACCACACCAGGCGTGCAGTGAGCATGGTACTTTCACTAAACAGATGGGTTGAGTATATATTGTACCATAAAGATACTGTCATGGCTCCGAAAGAAGAAGCTCTTCAAAGAACTTTGAGGCATTGTTTACCTTAAAGAATCTTTAATTTGCAACATAGCTTCGGCAGGTACATAGAGAAGCCAAAATCTGAATTCTCCTCCCCCAAACACACAGTATCAAAGCATAACTCACTCCTTCATTTAACAGTCATTAATCACATTCTCCAATTAGTTTGAAGTGTGAACTTTCCCTCCCGTTATCTCCTCTTATTACAACTAACCTTGAAGAATACTCTACTGCAGGGGTAGTCAACCTTGGCTCTTTTATGACTCGTGGACTTCAACTCCCAGAATTCCTGAGCCAGCACAGCTGGCTCAGGAATTCTGGGAGTTGAAGTCCACGAGTCATAAAAGAGCCAAGGTTGACTACCCCTGCTCTACTGAGATATTGTTATGGCTAACTAGTCCCCAAGCACATTCTTCCCCCTCCCCTCCAGCACCATCTAATTTTAACTCTAAAAGTAGTACACAGGTTAAATAGGAAATGTCTGCATCTTTATATACTGTCAAGCAAGAACATCCGATGTTAGCAGCAGGGACAGATACGTTTCATTAATAATATGGCGGTGTAGTGATTTAGGGGCCGGATCAGGACAAAGTATGGAAGCTCAGGGGATCACATCCTTTCAGCCCAACTATCTACGATCGCTACTACGGGGGTGAAATGAAGAACCCCAGATTACATTTGCATCCTATACATTTGCAGGGTATAAATTCAACCGTGGATCCGCTCTCTGCTCAAACAAAACCTGGCTGCTTCTGTCTTGCTCTTCTTTTACCTGTCTGCCTTTTTCTCGTCTGTCTTCCTCTTCTTCCTCCTTCCCTCTCTTTTTCTTCCTTCAGATCTAACTGGCTTAAGCCCTGCTGCGGGAGGCGAGCGGCCGTCTGGCAGGTATTTTTACTCAGTGCGAGTCTCAACAGTTTCCTGCTAGCCTGTGTAGTATTGGTGGTGATTCTTCTGACTCTGGAGCTCCTAATAGATATAAAGCTTCTCCAGTGTGAGTAGCAGGCTTTTACCCTTGTTTCTGTTTTCCTTCCTGAAATGTTTGAGCAAACCACAGGATACAGATAGTTCTCGGTTTACAAACCGTCCATTTAGTGACCGTTTGAAGTTACAGTGGCACTGATAGCATCTTTGTGGTCCCTCTTTGTGTCCGCTTACTGCCATATTGATTTGGCCAGGATGGTTTCTATGCATTTTGTTTGCGCGATAACAGTCACTGTCCTATTCTCATGTTATGGTAATAGGTGTGTGTGCTAAACAAGATTCGGGGAATGTTTCTACAAAAAGATGGACGTCCTTATGTTGAAGGTTCCAGTGTGGAGCAAATATTGTCTCCTTCACACATGTTGGTTTTGCAGGATCCAATCTGGGTCGTTCACCGGGACCAGAGGTTTCGTCTTATGAGCTTTGAAGTTTGAAGTTCCCTGAAGATGGACTCCAGAACAAGTCCGAAAGCTCGGAAAACAAAACCTGTACTCCCAATAAATCAGAGGTCCCCAACCTTTTGGGCATTAGGGACCGGTTACGCGGAGAGAGGTTTTTCCGCAGACCGGAGGGTGCGTGGTTTTGTGTGCTGTCTGCATCCCACAGATGGGGCTTTGCTTGTTTATGCGGACTGGTTGCTGGCATGCCGTGGCCCGGTACTGGTCCACGGACCGGGGGTTGGGGACCCCTGCAATAAACGACCCAGATTGGATCTTTTAACATTATCCTGAGACACGTATATTTGCCTTCATGTTTGTTTTGACCCATAACCCGATGTTCTGAAAATTCTCCTAAATACTCGGTAAACTTTATTGCCCATAATATCGTCTTTGAACCGACAGCGCTCTCTGATCATTCGCCAGCTCGCCATGGGACAACTGGCCCTGGGAGAACTCTCTGCGGGACAAGGGTTACACTAATATCAAAGAAAGGGTGGACTAGAATCATTCAAGAAAGGATGCCAAAGGAAGGATAGAATGAAAAGCGAATGACAAAAATCGAAATATTTTTTTTATTGATTTTAAATAATTAAATTGAATTCTTAAATTGTCCCTTGGCGAGTTGGCCACGACGAGTTGGCCACAGCGACTGGCCCACACCGAATTGTCCCATTCCACTTTCTGAGGAGTTCCTGAACAACTTTCATCAGAATATCCACCTATGCCAGGGGTAGGCAACCTTGGCTCTTTTATGACTCATGGAGTTCAACTCCCAGAATTCCTGAGCCAGCATGGCTGAGCTTGGAAACTCTCCCTTTTCCCTCAGCATGGCTGGCTCAGGAATTCTGGGAGTTGAAGTCCATGAGTCCTAAAAGAGCCAAGGTTGCCTACCCCTGAGTCCTATGCCCTCCTGCCAGGAGGATTTTGTCTTTATTGATGCCTTCTCTTTACAGATCTTAAGGTTTCTGCGACTTCCTGGTTTTGAGCCCGCTTTAACAAAATTGTGATATTAATTTAAGAATAAGAAGGAAAATAGATATCTGCATTTCCTTTTAAAATACGCTTTAAGACTGACCATCCTGCTTTGGCCTATGCATGACACACATCACGTGTCACTTGCTTTTTTGTTCTTCCTTGTAGTTTCAAGCGCATCGCAATTTGCTGGCGTCATTCACTGGATCAGTCTGGTTATCCTATCTATCTTCTTTTCAGAGGTAAAGGAAATAGAAATTGTAACTGTAGGGAAAAAGAATATGGCTGGGGTTTTTTTTTCTTTCTATCCTTCAGTAAACATATTTTTAATTAGAACTGGACAGACTTTCGGTTTTCAGAACAGGCTTTCCCCAGCTAATTTTCATGTGCTAATCATAGGGGGAAGACCAGTGTACAGATGACACAGAATGTCCCAGTAAGTCTCTTGAGACCAGAGAGAAAGAGAGAGCCATAAATAGCTACTTTTATTGACAGATGCTTCTTCCATTGTCACTTGAAGTGTTGAAATGAGTAGCCAGATCAATAGAAATGAGGACAATTGGCCTCTGACAAGAGTCCCAGAGGACTTAATTGTGGCATTGTTTACAATTTAAAACATCTCAATTAAAGGCTAGAATGATGATGGTTACCTAGTTTGGGTAATAGAAATGTCTGCAAGAAAACAACCAAGGTCAGTGAGCACCAAGGACCCCACAGTCGTCGTCCTCCTCCTCTTCCTCCTCCTCCTCCTCCTCCTCCTCCTCCTCCTCCTCCTCCCCTCCTTCACCTCCACACTGCAAACCCCACTCCCTTCCAACACTGATGACGTTCCTAATTAGATAATGAAATGTCTGCAAGCAATGTATACCAATTTTTTTATACCAGGGGTATCCAACCTGGGCAACTTTTAAGACCTGTGGACTTCGACTCCCAGAAATTTCTGGGGGTTGAAGTCCACAGGTCTTAAAATTGCCGAGATTGGACACCCTTGGTTTAAACTGTCCAAGGTCTGTTAAACTCTTATTTGCAAGCTTGAATAAAGAGACTTAATTTCTTAAAAGAGATTTAATTTCTCATTGCCTGCTTGTAAATGGCCAAATTCATACTTCATTAGGAGCATATTTTCTTGCCAAACTTCAAATAAGGCATGAAATTGGCTTAGCAGCTGTGTTCACTTAAACTGTGGGCAGGCTCAGAGCATCCTCCTGACACCCCACTCAATCAGCACTTGGGTTAGAAACAGATTGTTTTATCCCTGGGATTGTTTTAGGCTCATCTCTAATTAACCATATCACACGAGTGGGGATGAGAGCATTAATCTTCCTTCCCAGCTGAAGAGCCCAAGGATGAAATCTTTGGAGCAGCCCCCACAAAATTAGGGCCAGTTCATGAATTCCCCTCTGGCTGCTTGTTTTACAAGTAGTCCTCAATTTACGACTGCAGTTGAGTCATAAGTCATTGCAGTGATTAAGCGGGCCACCACTTTTCCACCCTGAGAAAAAACATTTGCATTTGCAAATGGCCTAAAATGTTTGGCAGCTCTTGTCCACTAAAATCTATGAAAGGGACATTCATTATTATTATTATTATTATTACTATTATTGTTATTGTTACTGTTATTGCTGTTATAACTTGAAAGTAGGATCCATGGAGACTTTAAGCAATGCTACTCATTTCTGAGTTGGAGAATGGTTGCTATTAAACTTGAAAAGATTGTCCCTATTAGTCTGGAATTTTGCTTATCTTTTCCATTATTCCCAGAACTTGGAAGAGGTAGAAGCAGGGCATCTTTTTAAGAAGGGAATAAGCTTTAAATATAATTGATGTCAGCATGTTTTAAATGAATGTGTAAAAGACAAATGCTAATTTCTGCTCTTCTCCCTCCTTCCCCCCCCCCTTTTTGTTTCCCAACATGGACTTCCTTAGACTATTTTGAGAATAGTCGTACTCGGTATATGGGACTATATTGAAAACAAAATAGAGGTAAGTCCAAAGTAGCGAAATCTTTCATGACATGTCCCTCTTGCCCAAACCTTGGTGTGCATTGCTCAGGTTTCTGCTACTCGTTGTAGCAACCAGGTTAAAGTCAAAAGGCAAGGTGGTATATTCTGCCCAAACTGTAGCTCCTTTGCATGGAATCTGCTAAACTACAGGTAGTCTTCAACTTCCGACCCCAATTGAGCCCAACCTTTCTGTTGTTAAGTGAGACATTTGTTAAGTGAGTTTTGCCCCATTTTACAACCTTTCTTGCAACTCTTGTGAAGTGAATCACTGCAGTGGTTAGGTTAGTAACACAGTTGTTAAGTGAATCTGCCTTCCCCATTGACTCTTTGTCAGAAGGTCACAAAAGGGGATCACAGGACACTGCAACCGTCATAAATACTAGCCAGTTGCCAAGCGTCTAAATTTTGATCACATGACCAGGGAGATGCTGCAACGGTCGTGTGAAAAACCATCATAAGTCATTTTTTCCAGCACCATTGTAACTTGGAATGATGACTAAGTGAACTGTTATAAATCAAGAACTACCTGTATAGGACAATCCATTGGAAATGTGATTGCGTAAATACAACAAATGCAGTATGGGCAACATGGGTAAAATAATCAGTATGGATCCAAAGAAGAGAAAGGGTTGGATTGTCACTTGATAACGTAAGGCGCAAGAAACCAGGATCCAGGATAAAGTTCAAAAGTACTACAAGTTTATTTCATACACAAGTTTATTTTATACACAAGAATCTGATCTACTAACAGTCAAGGCATACACAAGAATCTGATCTACTAGCAGTCAAGGCAAATTGACACTAGATAAGAGTCAGCGGAATCCATGGGCGTAGATCTCTTGTGGATGCATAAGGATTCCAAACTGATGATGCATTTGACCCTACCCTATCCTCGGACTCAACCTGGCCATTTCCCACAGATGCATACGTTCAAAAATAATGTATATGTGATTCCTGTGAAATTCTTTTCATATTAGGTATTTGATGGTGCTGTAATCATCTTATCTTTGGCTCCCATGGTGGCATCTACAGTGGCTAATGGACCAAGCAGTCCATGGGATGCTATAAGTCTCATTATTACCCTGAGAATTTGGAGAGTCAAACGAATTATCGATGGTAAGTCAACAGTGAATTTTTTTTTTTTAACTTGGTCGTGTTTGGTGAGAGGAGTGACTGTATAAATTTGAAAAATTAGCAAATAAAAACAAGCCATTCCTTTGTAAAATGGATAACATCTATTTTAGGCTAATTTCAAGCAGAAAACACAGATTTAACCAGTTGACCCTTGCTTAGAAGATAAACAAATTCCCAATGTACTTAAGTCACATGTTTTGTCCCAGTGTCATAACAGATGCAATAATGTACTTGTGTGGGCAATTAGAATTTTGCGAAAAAAAATAATCTGCAGCAGGATGTGGAGGTTTAGAGAAAGAAAGAAGCACCAACTTGGGGGCTGAGCAGTTCAAGTTCTTAGCAACTTCTTTTAAAGAAACTGCATGTGAAAATCCACCTGTAATCCATTAGACCAATATTTCTCAAGCTTGGCAATTTTAAGATGTGTGGACTTTAACTCCCAGGATTCCCCAGCCAGCATGGAGTTGAAGTCCACCACCTCTTAAAATTGCCAAGCTTGAGAAACACTTCATTAGACCAGGGGTCTTCAAACTTGGCCCTTTTATGACTTGTGGACTTCAACTCCCAGAATTTCTTAGCCAGGCATGCTAAGTCATAAAAGGGCCAAGTTTGAAGACCCCTGTGTTAAGGCATCCAAGAAGACTCTAAATCAGGGGTCCTCACCTTGGCTACTTTAAAACTTGTGGACTTCAACTCCCAGAATTCCTTAGCCAGGCATGCTAGCTGAGGAATTCTGGGAGTTGAAGTCCACAAATCAAAAGGGCCAAGTTTGAAGACCCCTGCTTTAGACAATTAGAGTAGAATAGGTGATCTTGAATGAGCAAAACTTGCTTCCATTTTCCTAAGTAAACACACACACACACACACGTCTTCTTTTTAAAAGGAAGACTTGGAGGCAATAGATGATTTTTGACAAGCCAAGAGAATCTTATCTCTCTCAATTGCACGTCGGTTCTTTCAAGAGTCTCACTTTGCATTTGTCGAGGGATGCATCGTGACCCATTCTGCTTTCAGTAGCCGCAGAAAGTCTGCATTTCTGATTAGTAGTAGAGAACTGCCTTCTTATCTGCTATGAAAGACCCTATTTGTATGGTTCTGATTTGTAGCCTACGTCCTGCCCGTTAAAGTGGAAATGGAGATGGTGATTCAACAGTACGAAAAAGCAAAGGTTATTCAGGACGAGCAGCTGGAAAGACTGACCCACATCTGCCAAGAACAGGGGGTAAGAGGGCACAATTATATCTCCATGCCAATGTCAAAAGTTTTCGTCCGTTAGTTTTCCTCTGATGCTAGGAAAAAATTAGAAAGCAGAAAACCTCTTGGGCTGAATCTTCAAAATATATATATGATATATATTTTGATATATATATGATAGATAATGTCTGTAAAAATGTGACTCCTGGGTATATTCATATTGTAAAATAAATAACTTACGATCACCAGGAGGATTCAAGTAAGAAAATATTTTAATAAAACCAAGCTTTCGTTGGGAGCTCCCAACATCGTCAGGGTTAAAAGCCAGTCATCGGAAACACCTTAAATAAGGTGCCATGTGCACCTTATTTAAGGTGTTTCCGATGACTGGCTTTTAACCCTGATGATATATATATGGCACCTTATTTAAGGTGTTTCCGATGACTGGCTTTTAACCCTGATGATATATATATGGCACCTTATTTAAGGTGTTTCCGATGACTGGCTTTTAACCCTGATGATGTTATATATATATAAATATATATATATTTAAAAATTCTCCTGAGTGCCAGAAACAGCCCACAGTCGACCCACATTACCCAATGCTCCATGCTCCACTGCTAAGCTGCACTTATGCATTTTGGCCATAGGGTGGCAGCAAAGGCACTTCTTTCATTTTCCTAGGTCAGTCTGACCTCTTATGACATATGCAATTCTGGACTCTAACTTACCTTTTTCTCTCCAAATAATTACTTGTGAATTGTGAGGTGGGGTCATCTTGCATCCTCTAAAAGAGCCCAACTTGCCTGAACATTAAGCCTTCCTGGAAGAAAGTGTTTTATCTGGTGGGTTTAAATGATTTTTCCACCACCTGAACAAATTTTTTCTCCTTTTCTTCGCTGTTCAGTTATCTCTGGGGCAGTAGTACCAGGCTCTTTCTGGGTGCTTTGGGGGAAATTATTATAAATTGAGGGTCATCCTTTGGTGTAAATACAGCATTTTTATTCCTGCTTGCCATCTCTCGAATTCTGGGTGGTTGTTTTTTCATGCCTCCCAAAATTGTATTTCTAGTTGATTGTACCAAAATGTTGAATTTAGAAAAGCAGTACTGTTACATATCCGCTGCTTGCTTCCACTTATTTAATGTTCCTGGCCATGTTGACACATCCACGTATTAAATGTTGCGGGATCGTTTTCCCAGGAAAGACAAAATGCCACTTAATGGATCTCTCAGGGCATCACGTATCACACTTTCTCCCACCGCTGACTTTCGGCTGAGAGAAAATAGGGAGCTGTTGAGACCTGTTAAACTATCTCTGCTTTGGTTTTAGAGTTCAGATAGCAAGTTTCTTATTTCCTAGAGGGTGGTCTAGCTCTGCTTCTTGTCCGTCAATGTAATGCCTGATTTGGTAGCACAGACGGGTCCTCGGGGCCCCCAAAATTTGCACTCCTGATTTGCACAAAACACAGTTATACAATAAACTCTTAACTACCTCAAAAAACCAAGATCAAACTCTGGCTTCTGATGTTTGACCTTGAGGCTGTAAAAAAAACAGTAGCAAAACCCTATAAGCTGGAAACCACAGCTTTGTATTACAAGTACATATAGCCGTTGCTGGTCTAGAAATACCAGGAAATTTAGATGTGCATTTGTGTATGTATTTATATCTAGAATGTGTGTCTTGTTTTACAGCAGTTTGATATGTAACCCTCCTTTGTTAAAAATATCACATATTTTTAAAGAAGCTTTTATTGTCGCTGTAATTGTTGATAAGTGCTAAAAAGATACCATGCTTGATTTGATTTCTGTGTGAGTTTAGAGATGGCTCTGTTTCACATTCGTCATGTTGTGACTTTGTATTTTGGTGGCATATGCCATCAGGCTTAGTTCACACTTATTTCAGGAAGCGTTGGTGTTTGTGCCTCTAAATTCAATGTTTTCTTTTAAAGAAAGGTTAGCAATTACATTTGTTTTCGATTATGAAAACAATAAACTTTGATTCTCTTCCCCCCCTTTTGAATTCATGTAGGTGCATAATTTGGTGGTGATAGCTTTCTGCATTTTCAGAAAATCTGCAATGTACATACAAAACTATTTTCAAAGAAATAAATTGAAAGAAAATGAGAGTGCCGATGTAAAAGGGCATTAGATTTATACAAAATAATTAGTGAGTTTTTTACACAGCACGTGTCTGTGTCAAGAGTAAAAGACCAAAATAAATGAAAAATCCGCAGTTGTTAAGTTTTAGCAATGGCTGGCGTCACATGACAAAAGGTAGCCGCAGGAGTTGGTCGATTGTACAGCAACCATTAAAATGGATGTTGTCAATTGATAGTGTTTTTTCTTTTCAGCAGTGACTGATTCTTTTGAATCACACTAAGGGTCACAGAGAGTTTATGCAAATATAATAGCCACATTTATGTCTTTAATTTCCTATTAGAGAAAAGCTTTCTTTATTACAGTTTGCTTGGAGCAAACACAACATTGGTGCAAATTATGTTGTGTGCATCCATGCCAGTTCTTCCCAATCTCAGTTTGCTTGCAGGGCCAGAATAAGCCATATGGAGTTTTGGGTGAGTGGATCACTTAACCCCCCCCCCCCCCAATTGTGGATAAACTCACCCATGCCTTAATGCAGTGTGTCCACCCTGCGACAGCCTTTAGCAGCCCTTGAACCATTGTTATGTCAGCCTTTCAAAACTTGAACTGTTTGAACAGATCAAGCTGGTCATTTTTACAGATGGTGCCCAGATCTGAGATCTTCAAACTCTGGTGCTAAGATGCCTCTTTAGGAGCAGCACCAGAATATCACTCTTTACGTGGGTATCCGTATTTACACGCAATATACCTCTGCATATTGCACATTAAGAGCCGTGGAGGTGTAGTGGTTAGAATGCACCATTGCAGGCTAACTGCCCACTGCCAGCAGTTCGATCCTGATTGGCTCAAGGTTGGCGCAGCCTTCCATCCTTCCGGGGTCGGTAAAATGAGGACCAAGATTGTTGGGGGCAATACACTGGCTCTGCAAACCGCTTAGAGAGGGCTGTAAAGCGGTATATAAGTCTTAAGTGCTAGTGCTAATTGCTATTTTTCTCTCTTTCTTTGGCTTCAGTTTGAAATTAGACAGCTGCGGGCACATCTGGCGCAGCAGGATCTGGACCTGGCAGCTGAGAGAGAGGCAGCTTTGCAGGTGCCTCACATGTTGAAGAAACAGACGGGAAACCGGTACAAAGTGGTGGCTGCTGGGGGCGATTCTGATGACGAAACTACTGCGAACATTACAGAGTTGCGTCCGGCTCGGGGTAAGTGGCCAAGAGTCCCACGTCTTCTCCTTCTCGCTTCTTCCTTCTCCTTCTCCCTTCTCCTTCTCTTCCTCCTCCTCCTCCTCCTCCTCCTCCTCTTCTTCTTCTTCTTCTTCTCCTCCTCCTCTTCTTCTTCTTCTTCTTCTTCTTCTCCTCCTCCTCTTCCTCCTCCTCCTCCTCCTCCTCCTCNTTCTTCTTCTTCTTCTTCTTCTTCTTCTTCTTCTTCTTCTTCTTCTTCTTCTTCTTCTTCTTCTTCTTCTTCTTCTTCTTCTTCTTCTTCTCCTCCTCCTCCTCCTCCTCCTCTTCCTCTCCTTCTCCTTCTCCTTCTCCTTGTTCTTCTTCTTCTTCTTTCCTCCCTCCCTCCTCCTCCTCCTCCTTCTTCGTCTTCTAGTGGAGAGCGTTTAAAGCTGTGGTATTCTTGTTAAGCAGTGTCTGTTCATTTCGATCCGATGTGCGTAGACTTCCCCAGGTTGCAGAAGGAAGTGACAAACAGGATCTTAGGATCAGGACAATATGCAGAGAGACTACTCTTTGAGGAACTGGGTTTGTGGCCGTAGTAGTTTTCATCCCAGATAGGAGTCTTGGATTCCAAATTCAGTAGGACAGTGTTTCTCAACCTGGGCAACCTTAAGATGTACGGACGTCAACTCCCAGCATTCCCCAGCCAGCTAGGCAGCTATGAGGAACTCTGCAGGAGGATGCTTTGATTGTGTGTTGCTTAGAAAGCTCTTCATAAAAGCCCCTAATAAATAACCTATTTGTGCGGCATCAGGATTTGCAGTTATCTCCAACCAACTGGTTACACAGGGATCCCCTCTTATCTATTTCTCAACTTAGGACCGCTGCTTAGTGACAGTTCAGAGTTACAACAGACCTATTTAGGACCCATTTCTGAAGTTCTGATGCAATCCCCAGGGGCCGTATGACCACATGTTGGGCAGCCTACATTTATGTCCATTTGCACAATCCCCCCCCCTCGGTCCCATAACCATGTTTTACAACAGTTTTGCAGAAAACCAGCATTTTCAGCAAAACTGAGCTACAGCAAACCATTGTTTTGCTTAACGTCCACAGCATTCACTCAACGATTGCCGCAGAAAAGATGGCAAAGTCGGGCTTTACGTGGGTGACCTGCTTTATGACCGTCACAGTTCCATTGTGGTCCTAAGTCGAAAGACTATCTGTAGTAATTTGGGCAGAAGTCAAGTGACTTTGCTGCTGTTGCCGGGTCCTTTTAATATTGAGTTGTAGCTTTCCAAAGTGGGTCTGCATCCAGTTTCATTAATCTACTTATTCTTTTAAATCTGAATACATGAAGATACTTTATAATTTATGCATATGTTCCTTGAGGGTTTACATTAGGAATGCAAGGAAGCAGTGTCGAAATTCCTGTGATTTGCAGGGCCAATCTTAAAAGTTTTATACTTTCTAAGTTATGTTTCTAGGTAGCAACAAGCACAGAGTGCTTCAGCTGGGTCATCCATAAAACATAACAGATCCACCCGCCAAATAAATCCTCCCTTAATGTCTGTATCATGGTATGAGGACACTTAAGCGTACTTAGAATTCACAGCCTGCTTGAAAACAAGACAGACTAAAATCAATTAGAATTTGTTTTCGGGGAGATGGTGTTCCAGAGAAGGGAAATTAGGTTGCAGTCTACACTCTTCAGACGAACGAGAATTTTGCCTTTGCCTTTAGTTGGACTAAACAGGTTGTCCTCGAGTTACAATCACAGCTGAGTCCAAAATTTATGTTGCTAAGTGAAACAGTTGTTAAATGAGTTTGCCCCAGTAGCCTTTTGGGGGAGGGGGGAGAAGCACCTTTGAGATAACTACAACCTGGAGGACTGAGAATCTCCGTAGATAATTGACCCATCCAATGGATTTAAGCCGTTAGTATTACGTTACGGCTGCAGAAAACAAGGAAGGTTGATAGCACGTCTGAAGAGCGGAGGGCTAAAACAGGTTAAATTGCTCCGGAGTGGAAATGTTGCTTCTGAGTCCCTCCAAAATCTTCTCACCTGGAGAACTTCAGTCCAGGTTCAAATAAGGGGCTTTTAGTGAGTGAGACTCTGCCTAATTCCGGAGAAACGGGATACTCCCCCCCCCGCCCCAGAGCCAATTATATTTCCCTGGCCCATAGAGAACAATGAACACATTCACCCCAAACTATTTGACCGTGAAGAGTTACAAACCTGCATGAGAAAAATTAGACTTTGCTGACTTTTCAGCCCCCTTTCTCTTCCCCCTCTCCCCTGCGCGACATTTTTACGGTGAAGCTATTTAAGTTAAGCTCGAATTTGCCTTCAAAGTCTCTGCATCCCGTGTCACGTGCATCAGGCCTCTTCGAAGCAAAACTTGAGAAGGCCCCCAGGCACCGAGCATCCTGCAGACCTTTAGAACAATCTCCCAAAATGGGCAGTTAAGAACACGGAGTAGCTATGAAATAACGGGAAATGATGCGCCGGCAGGTGGTGTGCGAGTTTTAAAGTACTTGCATTAAAAAAAAAAAGATGTCATCCGTTTCTGATAATAATCTGGTTGTCTCTGGTTTCCAGTCTGCCAGTTATGTCTTGGATGAACTACGTCAGTGTTTCTCAACCTTGAGAAGTTTAATACGTGTGGACTTCAACTCCCAGGGGAGCGGGGAATTCTGGGAGTTGAAGTCCACACACTAAGGTTGAGAAACAACAATCTAGGTGGCTTCTGATGAATGATCATTAAGGTGGCCAAGCTAATTAGCATTTAGGAATTATTATTATTTTTTGTAAGTAAAGCTTATTGTGGACTAAGAAGGAAATCCCACTTCCATCCCACTCATGTACTGGTGCCTAGTTTACCCAATTTTTGTTCATTTTAATGTTTTTATTCTTTTTTTTATGATGATGTAAGCCACCCAGAGTCACTCAATAGTGAGATGGATAGCATATCAATTTAATATATAAATTGTATAAGCAAGTTCCTGTATATATTTCAAGTAGGATCGACTTATAGCAGTTTGTTTAGTGATCGGTCAAAGTTACAACGGCACTGAAAAAAGGGACTTATGACCGTTTTTCATACTTATGACCGTTGCAGCATCCCCAGAGTCACGTGATCAAAATTCAGACGCTTGGAAACTGACTTGTATTTATGACAGTTGCAGTGTCTCGGGGGCCAACTGATCTCCTTCCACTTAACAACTGTGTCACTAACTTAACAACACAGTGAGTCACTTAACAACGGTGGCAAGAAAGGACGTAAAATGGGGCAAAATTCACTTAACAAATGTCCCACTTTGCAACGGAAATTGTGGTCGGAAGCTGAGGACAATCTGCAGGGGGAAGGGCTCAAAACGGAGCCTGCAACGAAAGCTGTAAGCATCCTCCCAGCAACCATCTTGCTTTTTTTGACCCTGTCTGCGTAGATCCCGATTGCAGCTCTTAACCCGTTCAATATGCCAACCGCTAAGTTCATTCACTGCTGTAAAACTGCCTTTAAATCTTAGGATCTTAAATCTTGCCTTTATGGACTACTAATGGCTCCCGAACCTCTTAAAATTTCCTTTATGAGTCTTTCATCTCTTCCCTCGCTCCGGAGTTTTCTTCTGAAACCCTCTCTCTCTCTTTTCTTTTTCTTTTTCTTTTTTTTTAGACTTTGCAGAAAACACACTCCTAACTTCGTTTAAAGTCAGATTTTGGGAAATCTGTGCGAAGAGAAAGGCCTTGAAACCGTGTTTTAATATTTCAAACCGGCTTCCTTTTTTTTTCCTGCTAGAGGGGGGGGAAAACAAGGGGCACGTGACCCCCTAATTGCTTGAGATGCGCTGGACTCTTTTCTCCTTTCCTTCTGTTAATTCCTGCAGCCAGGAAACATTGTCTGGCCATCCATTAAAACAATTACTGCCTTGTTGAAGCAAGTCCCTGGGACTTCAGAGTGGGTGATTATTAGGTTGTCCCTAAAGACACCGAGTTAGTTTATTAAATGAAGTCCCAATAAGGCAGCCAAAGTGGGGAGGCAGTAATGACATTAGGCTGTTTTTCATCCAAGTGACCATTTTTTCCTCCACAAACAGGCAAATCAATATAGACAAAAGTTTAAGGGGGTTTGTTTTTTTAAGGGACCCAAGAAAGTCAATGCAGCAGCGTCTTTTAAACAGGTTTGATTACGAATTCAGTTGTCCTATTTAATATCAAAAGATGGTCCGGATAATATTTGTTAATAAAGGAATACTATAATTACAGGAGGAGGTTATTGTTGAAATGCCAGATCAATGATCCCGGATGTTATAAAAATATTAGTCAAGGAAAGAAGCCAGAAGAGGAATGAATCGTTTATTTCCCAACCACATTTGTTATCTTCGTTTTTTTTTTAGGTATCACTTTGATGATTAGAGATATCTAATTGCTTAGAACTCATACAAGTAATCAACTGATTTAGCGTACATGCGGGGAAAATCTTCTTAAGAGGCCCTCCTTGCCCCATATTTTCATTGATCTTCTGTAGCTCAAGTCTGTCACAGGAAGGGATTCCCTAAGTCGCTGTAATAAAAATCGGATTTAAAAAAAAAAAATCAAGCTTCTTGTTCTGTAAACTGGAGCATTTGGCTAGTTTATCAAAAGATTTGTCTA